TCTATCGGACGGCACGCTCGTTCACGGATAAAACGAGGTGCCGTTCCATCGACGGTACATGGAAGAAGAAAAACGTCTTCCCTCTCTCTCTCTCTCTCTCTCCGTCTAGCTCTCCAGTCCGCCCACTCTCTTTAGCCTGCTCCCTCTCTCAAAGACGGGAAAATAACTGGTGCAGGGATGCGTATACTTGTGTTCTCAGGTATGTCTTTCAGGAAGTGCAGCAATCTACGAATTTGCGTAGGACATGGAAAATTATTACGGTGGGAACTACTGCGGCTGTCGAATCATCTCTTTCTCGTTCTGCCTACCTTTTTTTTCAGAAGGAACATGGGTACCGCCTGGACTCTAATGGGGCAAAGGACTGCCTGAATGGCGCCACCGTTTTCGCGGCAAAGTGATGGCAGGCCCAACCTTGTCTGCAGGTGCCGGCTAAAGTCCTCCGCGGGACTACGTCACGATGCGTTTTCTGACACGAAGTGATGAAGGTGAATGGACATGGTTTTACTGGAGATGGGCCGGATAAAACGGCCGACGACGCCGTTTCTCATATTCGCTCGTTAACAGATTCCGGAAACTCTCGCATTCCACCGCTCGAGAAATCGGATAGCGCACTGCGTGTCTGGCTGCGTTCGCGTATGCAAATTCGAACGTACGAATAAGGAGGGGGGATAATTACAGAAATTACAGCGAGCTCACTTTAAAGCATGTCAGCGTGTACAGTTTCCAGCTTTTATTCCTTCGTAAATGTAAAATATAATACGGCCGGCTGAATTTTATTTCTCGAATTTGCTTCCAGATTAAATTCCGCCATATTTATTAATAAAGCTCGTTTCGAACATCGAAATCAGTCATCTGCATTTGTGATAAACGTCGTCAATTCCTAAACGGGACAGAGTCTCGATCTCGCGTTACTTTTCCAACTCGTTGAACTTTGTTAACCATTTTAGAGAAGGTAAAAGGATGCATGTGGAGCCTGGTGCCATCAAGGTTTCTTGCACACCCACCGAACGAGTTCGCGATAGACTAGTAGCTTTGCAAGGGAAAGAAAGAAAGAATCGCGTAACGGGATAAACAAGCGATCGAGTATCATCGTAGTACAGTCACATTCCGATACGTAACGGCGAAAAGAGCGTATATTGCGTCCCGAACGACGGGAACGCGTACTGTGAATAGGCAACGACGATTGGTTATATAAAATTTCTCGGAAGCGCTCGGGAGAGAAACGTGCATACAGTTTTTGAGAAAGCCGAGCGGAGACGAGCGGCTCTACCGGTGCTCTGTGCGTGGAATTACTGTTCGCGGAAGAAATTTCTTTGATCGCGCTTCGCGAGAACCGTGGCCGATTCCCTGGGTAAATCCACTCGTTCTTTGTGCAAATTAGATCGTTCTCGGACAGATTACGACAGATTTCCGTTCGATGCTGAGAAGTGCTTAAGTTATCGTCGACCGCGCTGTGTTAATCTGCACGCCGACAATTTCTTTCCCCGAGTTCGCGAATACATAACTGTGGAGCCATAAGTTGAGAATCCGCGCAGCCCGATTCCCCTGTTTGGATTGCAATTATTCAGCGGCGTGTCCCGAAACTCTCAATTCTTCGTGAATCCTGACCCCCCCCGGACCTTTCTTCTTCCCTCTTTTTCCCATCTGTCCCGCGTTCTCTTCACCGGACTCTGCATAGATAATGAACCGTAAAAAAAGAAGCCCAAGACAAGCAACCGAAAAACTTCCACCCCCCCCCCCTCCTTCTCCCTTTCCTGACGTTCACCAACCCATTTCTTACTCGCGGAGAATACCTGCCCATAATAATTATTATTTTCAACCAAACAGCCGGCGGCTTTCTTTCTCTCTCGAGTCAATGACTAATTCTCTTATCTTGGATATACCGAGACATTCAATGCCGCGCCTGTGCGATAAAGAATCTGGAAAAGTTTCCGCGATAAAAAATTTCACTATTCATCATACGATGATAAAAATACTAACGCTGATGCAAGTGAAACTTACAATAATCGTTCCAAAAGGTTGCATCTACGCTATTATTAAGAGAAAGTTACACAAGTATTTCTTTTACTTTACTGCTTATGCAAGATACCAACAATAAGTAAAACGACTCAGGCATATAGCGCACAGGACTTCCTCTAATTTCGAGAAAGAAAAAAAAAAAAAAACGGATAGGAAGTTAGACGATGAAAATAATAGTGATGCACACACCGAATGCAAAGTACCGGCGAGGTCGCGATTCGTAAAGCCGAGAGCTGCTGCTCCGTCACCTTCGCAGGTAGTTGGTAGACGAAAGCGTTGGGAGAAAAGGACTCGAATACTGACGAGGAAGAGAGACAGAAGTATAGAGAGGTGGGAAGGGAGAGAAAGGTATACTGCGTCAAGGAAGAGGAACAGAGTAAAGAGACGTGGAAGTGGCAGGGCGAAGAAGAGGAGAGTAAAGGCCCCGGGCGAGGTCACCCACCGCCCCCGCCCCCCTCACTCCCCCACACACCCTGATTATCCGCCGCCGGGGGCGGGACGCTGTGTAATGAGCATCGAAGAGGTGCTCAACCTGTGACTGTTTAGTGTATTTTCCTTATTGACATCAAAGACAGCTTGAAAATCCTTCAACGCTCTCTCGATATAAAACTTATTTCTTATATTCTTCATAAAATAAATTTTAAAATATATTTGAAAAGTGTAACTACATTTTCCATACGCAAGAAAAAATAAGACAATTTAAATTATAAAATATCCGAAATATCTTGTTTGCAATTTGGCTAGTATTTTATAAAAATCGTGCGAAATAAATGCTATACTTTTGCTATATTACAATGCTATATTCGTAGCTAAATATTTTACATCCGCCTTAGGATACTTTTTTCATTAATGTGATTTTTTAATAAAAAATGTGTTAAACAGTACAATAAATAAAGACGTATGTAACATACATTTAAATGTACGAAATTACAAATTGAATATGTGCCCTTAAGGAAAGGTTGAGTCGCGACTCTATAGGACACTTGCTGACAAAGTCGACCAGAATTAGGGCAGATCAGCAGGAAGGTGACGGGATAGTAAGCGTTTGAATGGCAGAGCACGGCGTTGTTGGCTGTCTGCGAAGACACCCGGATGATCGAGCGATGTTATTTTAAGTTTTCCGTAGGGGCGTTCGGCTCTCTCTCCCGCCTTGCCCTAATCGTCTGTCAGCCACCCCCGTGGGGTCGGCAGACCACCCCCGCAACGTTTAATACACACGCGCGCGCGCAATTTCACCAATCGGGAGAGAGAAGCCGCCTGACACGACCCCCCACGGACAAGATTCGCCCTTTTTTTTCCTCCTACATCGAGATTCGCGCCGACGATTCATGCCCCTCGAGGGGTCAGATTCAAAACGCTTTACACTCTCATAACCAGGACCTGTTGATTCGACAACCCCCGAAAATCTCGAGCACCCCGACTCCCCGACGAAACGCGCGCTACAAGAATTCTTCAGCCTTGTAAAAAGTGCCCTCGCATAAAGATTCTTTACCAACACGAGTGAAGTTTTATTCGAAGCAACGATAAAACTTTTTGAAAAAAATTTGCAGTAAATAAGTGACAAGTAAAAAAGAAAACAATCTCGTGATCACTGAAATATCCTCCGCGCCTACTAAAATATGAACAACTTAGGAGCCCTGGAGGCATTCCGTCACCATTAGCAACGCAACACCTAGCCGACTACCGCGACTTGGTGTTCTCAAACGCACGATAGACCGTGAAGATGGAGTCGCTTCAGGAAAGTTAGTGTGCCCTCGCAGGGCTGCGCGGTTCGTTTGATGGTCTTCTCTCCTTCCCCGTCCTGGACCATCCACGTGTTTCCACCGGATGGCCGTTTACACCATCAAGTTTGGTGGCACATATTATATACCCGAAGGAAGGAAGCAAAAGAAGAGAAGAGACGAAGATGGACGAAGCCAAAGGCAGAGACAGAGCGGGAGAGAGAGCAAGGGGACGAGGGAGAGAGAGAGAGAGAAAGAGAAAGATAGACCGTTGCTTTCTTGGGCTGCGGCGTGCTTATTGCGTGATATTAGCCACGGTGCCTGCCGCCACTGCTGGGATAATCATAATCTCGAAAGGGGGACAAAACACAGGCCCCGAATCGCATAACGCTGAATTTTACGACTACTGGCATAGAGGAGACGCGGGGGACCGGATGCAACGCGGCTTTTTATGCTCTTCTAACAGCCCCCGACTTGATATCACGCCCGGAGATGGACAACTTTTCGAAATGTCTCTCCGACCATCGTCAGATTCACTTGTTGGATTCGCCGTCGTTGAACACGAGCACGAAAGTGTTGACGGATAAAGATACCGAAAGAAAGGAACGAAGCCAGTCTTGTACAGCCGAAAGCTAACCGAAAGTTATGAAAAATCGTGTTTTCAATTCGCCATTAAATGACATTATAAAGAAAAAAATAGCTTGTAACGACGTAATATTTCAGAGCATACGTAAATATACGAGAAAAAAATCAATCAGTCTTTTCTATAGCAATACGAGTATGTAACTGTATTATTATAATCGAAAACATTTCGATTCTCTTTTTGTCTACCTGTGTATAGCTGTGATATAAAACTAGTCGGCCACCGACACTTTCCGCTCGAAATGGTTATTCCGAGAATTCGATCTAATTTACGCGTTTGCATAGGCGCGCGATCAAGCCAGTGCGCAGTATAAAAGAAACGGAGAGAGAAGGAAAACGGGGGAGCGAGAGAGAAAGAGAGAACGGGCACCCAACGGCGTTACATCGCGTTTCGCAATGCCGTATGAAATCAACGGCGAATGAGGCACTGAATGGAAGCGAATTGCGCGAGTCGACGGCGAGTCAGTCAAGTCAACATGATTCGAAGCACACAGACTACGTAATAGGAGGGATATTTTTTTCACGGTAGATACTGAATAGAAGGTTCTGCGACGATTTTTACAGTAACGTAAGTACGGTCTTGTAATCTCTAGGAAATTGAGATTGTGAATCACTCACCGTAAGGTCGCTCCGCAACGGGTTCGCACGAATCTGCAACACAAAAAAAACGTACGCATTCGATTAGCAATAGCTCTATGACTATAAATGGGCGATTAATTATTCACGTTGGGTACTAGGTGGCCTTTTGGATCTCTCAGGCACCCGCTGCGATCAAGATAGAACAAAGTATTCGCATAAGCAGGACGTTGCGGTTATTAATTAAATATGATAAATGACAATATCGTGAAATAAAATGAAATTGGGTCAAAATAAAGAGGAGAAACTTTCCAATATAAAATTTTTGACTAGTAATTTTCTGATTTTAAAAACAAATTTAAAAATCAGGAAAGATATTCTCGCTAATGTAATTTTATCCCATCTCACAGTAGTAACGTCGTGATAAATATAAACTCCGTGATCTATTATACGCCGCGATACAAACGGAATCATGAGTTCCAATTGTCATAATTCTGAATAATTATCCTTTACCGCCGGTAGTAATAACTGTACTTCTATCTCATTTCGAAAGGAATGACCAACAAGGTTGAACGCGAATATATATGTATATCGAGAGCCTCGAGTGAATTCACATCAAAGAAAACAATGTATTAAATTACACGCGTCACGTCGCATAGAGAGGAAGCCTACGCGGATAATTTTGCTGATTTTTAATTCTCATCCTTCTCAATGACGCAGGTTAGCGCTACGCACATCAAGCATGCCCGTTCATCCATAACGATTGCAGCGCGATCGTGATTCATACCCGATATAATCAACGCAATCTCGACGCAATCGCGGCGGCGGGTCTGTTCAAGCGTTCCTTTTCCCCCGCGCGCTCGTAATTTGCATACGCTCAGAGAAAATTCCGGCGATAATTTATGCAAAGCGCGAGTCACATCGCGCCGGTAAAGGAGCCGATCGCCGTAAGTGATTTCTAACCGACCGCAAGAGTCGCTTGTATAATTTGCGCTATAATGGGGGGGGCCTTACGTAACGCCGGGGATTCTCAGCGCGCGATGATCGCTAATGCGCCGAGCCGGCTAATAGCGTCGTCGACGCGACTTGGGGTCCGGGATCGGATCAGGCCCGAAGGCACGCGTCGTCGCGTATACAGCCGGCGCGTAAAAGCGAAGGAAGTTTTAAATGGTACCTCAACGACCGGGCACCTGCTAAAGCCGGGAGATCGGCTTGGCGGGAGTCGGCAAATGTCTCATTCAACGTGGCTCTAATGGAAGCCGCTAGGTAGGTCATCGGCTGTCATAAACGCTCGCCCATCCAAGTTTCCTTGGCGGCGCGGAGCGTGTTAATAGCCTCATTAGATATCGTGGCGCAGTGATGTATATACCGCGATCGATAGGTGATTACTGACGTGAAACCCGATTTTCATAATTATTCTTTAAAGTTGCCTGAAAAAGTAACTTTCCATCTTTTTCTTATTCCTCCAGAAAAAAAATGTATTGTTTTTTAGTTATCTTCAGTAAATAACATACATTAGATATACTAATTCTATTGTCATTAAACGTCATTTGATTTATTTGATCACGAAATCGTAAATATATAACCATTAATGTCCAGGTCGAAGCAAAACATAAGGTTAATGAATAAAGCGTGAAATGAGACGACGTATTTGCGTAATTATGTCATAACCGTTCTTCTGACATCGTTCTTCATACAGCATTATCTTTTTTCTCCCAATTATGACATCGACTTCTACAGTCATTAGCCTCGGCATTAACGCCAATGGGACACGGTCTTCCCAGGCTGTGAACCATTCAAGCATTGACCGTATCAAAAATGTTGCTTAAGATTGTTAATTAACTTCACCAATGAATTCAATAACGTGTGCCTATTCTGACAGCATTATAATTATTCTGCAAACAGTTTATATATATTAATATATTTTGCATGACCTTGTATAAATTTTGTATGAAATTTATATTAAAAAATTTGTCGATCAATAAAAATAAATTTCTGTTATTATCTTTATATCAGCCGACGTCCTTGGCGATTATACAACAATATTTTATTTTCACACGCATACAGTGTGCATTTGCAAAAATAACGGGCGCCCGGATTATCTCATTTGCATCGAACTCGTGCGTTTCTCATACAGATAAGCGGCCAACGAAAATTCTACCGGTAAACGTTTCTCGCGACGATCTTCCAAGAATGTCGACGACAATATTAGAGTCAGCCGAGCAACGCCACGGCATTGAACGTGTTAAGTTTCATCAGTTACCATATAGGCGCACGCCTACATTCAACAATCATTCAACAATTGCACCTTCGACGACACTCGGCTGCGATCGAATGCGCAGATTACATTGAACGTGACGAAACGTCCTGCATCTGAAATTCTGACAGAACCCACCGGGACCCCGCGCGACACGTTGACGATCACGGGTGAAAATAAATAAAAAAGATATATCTCCGTTCGTTTATCCGTCGCTAATCGGCGACCACGAGCGTCGTATTCTAATATTTTCTGTGAAGCGTCGCGCGCCATCACGAATTCTGATTGAGTGGCAACCGGAGCCGTGGTCGGGTGCCGGTGTGCGTATCGGGGCCCCGAAGGTGCCAACGGGGTCGAGAGAGCGATGGTCGATAAATATTAAACGACTTTCCACCTGTCGCGTCGTCATCGTCGCGGCAGCGGGGCAGGGGGGCACTTCCGAGAGGGAGATGACTGAATGTTAATTAGCGAGGCGTGACAAGTGTTAAGTAATCCATCCATCTACCTACATGCCGGGAGGGAGGAGCCTGCCTAACGCTCGGTAATTAACGCGACACTCTGCTGCGGCCACGCACCATCGACGGAACGCGGCTCGTTCTTGCGAGCGGGCGCGCGCAATTAACCGGCGATTTAACAGTTAACCTCGAACAGGTGGAACGCGCAGTAGACGTTCGCTTGAAACAAACTTGTCGCGCTTTATAAAGTTCAAATTTTTGATTAAACATTATTATTTATGACATTTATATTTGTAAGCGCAGTGTCATGCCGTAATGCAGTCGTAAATAATAATTTAAGTGAAAACTTTAAGCTGTAATTTATTTTGCGATATAGCGTGTGTATAAAGTAATTCTGATATTCAGAAATCATCAACGTAACAATGATGGACGATTAGTTACGTGACAAATATGTATGATAACAAATAAACTTACCAAACATATTTATATTACATGGATTAAACTTTTTTAATCGATCGATTCTTGATCCATACAATATCGGTTGTGTTGAAATCACGGGTCCAAGTTCCATCGATATTATTACATTATTTTACTAGCACAGATTCTATTTTACTGACACCGAAAGAATTTGATCGATAATATGTATGTATTCACTCGACCGACTTTTATATATTGACTAACCGTGTATCAACTGTATGATGTACCAACTATATTAGTGATATCTTTGTCAAATGTTTTCAATCAATGTTATTCCTTTCTTATATGCCCGTTCTGTCTTTTGTAGTGGAACACACATTTAATAAAAACTCATAAACACATAATTAATCCTACTCATAGCAATTGTACTTTTAATTCTTAAGAAATCAAAAATTTATAATATAAAAAATTGTTATACGTACAGATAATAAGAATATTATCTGCAAGATTTTTGTCGCTGATTTCGACATATCAATATAAGATTTCAATATTTTATTCATTTAAGACACTTATTTGCGCGGATATAATTTAATTGAAATTTTTAAGAACAATTGTAATCTTGTAAGTTAATTATCACTTACTGATACATAGACTTGCAAAACTTTCTTTTTTTTACTAAAAATTATACAATATTCAATTAAAGAAAACACTGCGTAAAAAAAATCTTTTATCGCTCTATAAAATAAAGCAACGCTGAGAGAAACAACGTGAAGAGAAATTCGACAACTAATCTGATTAAATTTGCGCACGTTATTAACGGTGTGAAGCATACGCTCGCATATAAATGTCATAATGCGGACTCTCGCCTCATACCATTCGTAATGAAAGCGGTCGCCGTGACGCGTCGACTTGTATTAATTAGAACGGCGGGTCCGATGCTCGGCGCAGATAAACGAGCGGTGCAACGTTCAATGTTACCAAACAATGCCGCCGTTGGCCCCGCGTCTGAACGTCGCGGTGCAGCGCCGCCGATATCTGCATTAAAGGAACATTTACATCTCGGAGAGCGGGTCAGAGTCCGGGTTCGCATTCGCGACCGGTCAAATCGCCGAATCATAGCCGATCCTCGCTTGTCGATTAGATGTATCAGTGTAATTAACAACAAACAATGGCCGCGAGAGACGCGCGGGCTCGATATCGTGTATTAATCGATTACCCTCGCCGGTCGGGCCCCGAAGATATGCGCCGGGGCCGGCTGTTAATCATCACCGCGGGTGCGTTTGTACCACCGACGTCCGTCCCTTTTTTTTTCTTCTTCTCATCGTGAGAGAGAAAGACCAATAGGTCTGAATGTAACGTACGTACGTACGTAGCCCTGAGGACTTCTTCCGCTAACTACCTCCGTAACACGTCATTCGCCTCCCCGCGCCGCCCGCGCACGAAATACCAGAAACAACGTAACGATCTCGTTTGCCCGCCGCGAATTCCGCTTCTCATGGCGACGTATCGCGCGACCATCTATCGATTAAGCGATTACTTGCATTATTCGACGAGTGGCGAGTTAAAACAAGACAACGGATCTCGTAGCTCAAAAACGCGCGGATCAGCTATGTGGGACATGCATATAACGTTCTAAATAAATAATGCTTTAGTATTTATTCAACGTATTTTTTACTTTTTTATACTATTAGAAAAATGTTTATTTATGTAAGAGAAACAAAATATATTCTGTGCAATCTGATTGATATAAAATTAAAAGAACAAATTTTATTGTTAAAAATTATAATCAGTTTACGCGGCAATATAAACATAGCATAAATAGTAGCTGTAATAATTTTTATTCTAGATCGTAATTGTAAAACCCACGCGTCTCACTAAACTAGGCCGTGAGAGCCTAAAATCGGTACCGTTAAAGGAGCAGAGAAATATCCCTACCAAAGTATCAA